CCGCGCCCCGCGCCGACTTCTTCCTGACGGGCGCTCTCGAGGTGATCTGTGAAGCCTGGCTGCGCGACCTGCTTTTTGCGCGCGGGGCGCCCTCGTGGCTGCGGCGCCGCTACCTGCGACTGCGCTACGAGGACCTGGTGCGGCAGCCGCGCGCCCAGCTGCGCCGCCTGCTGCGCTTCGCCGGGCTGCGCGCGCTCTCCGCGCTGGACTCCTTCGCGCTCAACATGACGCGCGGCGCGGCCTACGGTGCCGACCGGCCCTTTCACCTGTCGGCACGTGACGCCCGAGAAGCAGTGCACGCCTGGAGGGAGCGCCTGAGCCGAGAGCAGGTGCGCCAGGTGGAGGCCGCCTGCGCCCCAGCCATGCGTCTGCTGGCCTACCCTCGCAGCGGAGAAGAGGGAGATGAGGATTCGCCCAAGGACTTGGAGATATCGCTGGGGATGGAGACCGAGGGTGACACGTAGTCCCTAACATTAACCCCGGGGGAGAATCCGGGTAAGGTGGCCCTGCGCAGTGGGGGGCGGGGTGGAGAAGGGCCGGGGTGGGTGGGCAGGGGGATGTTAAAAATGGCCTGCATGAGAAATACTGGGTTGAGGGAAGGGAGGGATGGATGTACCAGATCTCCACCTGTCACAGCCGATGGGGAATCAAAGAGATCTCCAACTTAGCCTCCAGCCTCTCAGAGGAGACCCATAAAACAGAAAGGTTGTCTTAAGTGTAGCGGAGGGGAAATCCCAGCCTCCACAGCCCCAGTCCAATGCCTGAAGGCTATCTGTTAGCAAGGGCAGAGGGCATGAGAGAAGTGTCCGAAGTTTGTGGAGAGTCGGGAAGAATTAAGACAGTCATACTAGAATTTGAGACTAGGAATTGACATGAAAAGTACAAGGATTAAAAATAATAAGTAAATAAATAAAAGTACAAGGATTTCAGGGACCATTGGAAGTCAGTGACTATGAGTTTATCTTGGTGCCAATCTGTTCTCTGGGCTGGGAAAAAATGTTTGCAGTTGTGTTTGCAGGCACAGAGAAAAACCAAAGCACGATGTGGTGGAAAGTGACCATTCCAACCCCACCTACCCCTCTTTCTGTTTCATATGCCTTCTCTCTCATCTGCCTCTCTCATGTCCCTCCCGATTAACAAGCATGGAGACAGCCAGGCCATTCTTACAACTATTTGCAGATTTCCATGTCTCATGCACCTTATAATGGAGTCCAATAAACTTTGCTCATGTGACCTCTCTCTCCAGCTCCTCCCCTCCCCCTTCTTTCCTCCTTCCACCCACTTCGGTCTTCCTCCCCTCCTTGTGGTCAGCGTCTTTGCAGGATATTTGACCCTGTCCCCATTCACAACAGATCACAAAAGGTCACAAAAGCTGCCTGGCCAGCTTCCTCTAATACCGACAAGATCTCAGGCCTGGATTTCCCCCACTCCGCCCCCATCACTTTGAGAGATGGAACCTTAGATTGGCAGTAGCAGCTTTGCCTGTAACTGCGGAAGGTGAAAAGAGCCACCATCTCCCCCCCACCCCCACCCCCGTTGACTCTAAAGCTTCCATCTGAAGAAGGTAAAATGGAGATTCAGTTATCTCAGCAGTGGAGCTCAAAAAATTATCTCAAAGATGTGCAGGGTCTGGGCCAGTGCAGGAACTGAACATTGGACTAAGGGCAGAGTTTGCTCTGCACGTTGCTGATGTTAGGAGTCTAGTTAGTGGCGTGGGAATGCGTCTCTCCAAACTTGGTGTAAGTTGGAAGAGTGCCTTTGTCTGCACTGTACAAGCCAGAGGAGGAGGAAAAGCAGGACTGGGGGTGGGGAGGGAAGTGACTTCAATTTCCATTCATTATTTTATAGTGTAATTCAGCATTCCCCTGAGATGAAGCTTTGAGGGCAAAGGTGGAAGGGGTTAATGAAGAGGGATTTTGTGGTTGTCAGTACAGTCGGTTGCAGAGTGGTTTCAGAAGCTGGCTGACACTCCCTTTTTCTCCTAGTAATCAAGTGGTGTTCTGCGTTTCGGTAATTGCTAGGAACTCTGTGTTCTTTCCTGATTTCTGGCATGAATGATGGTGAGGCAGCCACAGGATGACTCGTCACCTCTTAACAAAAACATCCTTTTATCAGCTAGTCCTGTACCAGTATTTATTCCCAGATCTAGCATAATGGTCCATAGCCCGCATCCACAGGCCCCGAGGGAACTGTGCCAAGGGGCAACTGCAGCAGCAGTTTTTGGTTCAAAGGATGAACAATCTCCCCAATTCTTTTAATTAAAAAAAAGAAGTTTAGCTAATGTCTATTGAGTGTCTGCCACCTGTGAGGTTGTGGGTGGGAATGAGATCATGAGAGTGAAGAGGAGAGTTAGAAGACATGGTCTTTGTCCTCTAGGAAGTTTGTCTGTGTGGATGACATTGACTATGTAGGAAGACACTGCTGCTGCTGTTTGGTGGCCATTGGGCTTCCTTTGGGGATTCCTAAGGGCAGACTTTTAAGTTCCTCCATCCTCTGGGGACGGAGTCCTACTTCCCCCATTTCCTCCAAAGTTATTGGACACAAATCATGTCTCCACCAGTCAGTAGATTTAGGAGATTCAGCTGGGACCACACAAGGGCAAATATTGTATGCAGTGGACTACAAAAGGTCAGGGGAAAAGTCCACTATCTTTTAATAACATTTCCCCATGAACTGTTTGAAACCACCTCTTCTGATGACTTTACTTATATAAAAAGATAAGAACAGGCAGATGTGTAGAGACCAAGTTTAATAGTGGTTACCAAGGAAGGAACGGGGGAGGTGTTATTGTTGAAATCATACTGATTTTCCATTTACAGTGATGGAAAAATCACATTGCACAATTGATTATTGTAATTGCTATCAGTAAGTTGTTCACCCGTACAAAGTTGAATTGGTAAAACTTGGGTGATTGCTATATCTACAATAATGATAAAATTTATAAAATTTAAAAGAGTCACTGCTGAGGCAACTTACATACAACCAAACCCCTCGTGAGAGTTCCTTCCTTGGTTTGGAGGTTTAAGGCCTTGGTTTCATGGGACACCCCAGCTAATTGGCCTCCTAATATGATGAGAGTTTCTATTCTACCACCTAGTTTGTTGCGTATGGCCTGGCATCTTAGTTGGTCTCCATTCACCTGGGACAACAGAGGAAGGATAGGAATAAGAGGAGGATCTGGAATGTGTGGCTAACAGCCTCCCTGAACACCAGCCTCCCTTGCTACAAGACCAGAAGAACTGGATGGCGCCCAGTTAGCATTAGTGATTATTTTGATCAAAGAGTCCATAGGATGATCCTGATCAAAAAAGAGAAACTATAGAACCAAACAGAAACTCACTGCCACTGAGTTGATTCTGACTCATAGTGACTCTGTAGGACAGAGCAGGATTGTCCCTGTGGGTTTTTTCCAAGACTGTAACTGCCTACTGGAGTAGAAAATCTCATCTTTCTCCCTCAGAGTGGCTGGTGGTTTTGAATTACTGACCTTAAGGTCAATAATCCGCTATGTAATCCACTATGCCACGAGGCCACATAAAATGCAGAACATAATATCAGATTCTCCTGGAATCCAGACTTTCTGAAGTCATCAAGGTTGGATAACCTTTAACCCCTGAGATAACCTATAACCCTTAAACTAAAAAAATACCCCTGACTTTTCCCTAAAACCTAACGATAGTTTAGCTAAACTAGTAAAGCATGCCTGTCTTGAACATTGTGCCCTTTTAAGATATGTATGGAATCAAATTGACTGCTGTTAATTTAGGGAGTCATGAATTTATATGAGGGGAAGAACAACTCAGAAAGGGAGGGTAAACATGTTTGTACAACTTGAAGAATGTACTCAATGTTAGTAAATTGCATATATAGAGACTATTGAATTGTTTGTTTTGCTGTGTATATTATCAATTGGAGAAGGCTTGCTATATATGCATGGTTACTAGAAAGACAACATTATTGAAGGGCTTTCCAAAAGTCTGTTACACTTCACGCTAGCTAAGGGAGAAGGAAAGGAGATGGCTAAGTGTTGGAGGACTCTGTGCCATGCCAGGAACTCTTGTGCCAGAGTGGATAAAGTGTTGGGCTGTGAACTGAAAGTTCAGCAGTTTAAACCCGCCAGCTGTTCTACCAGAGAGAGATGAAGCTGGCTTCTCCTGTGAAGATTTACAGCCTTGGGAACCCACTGGGGCTGCTCTGTTCTGTTCAATAGGCATGCAATGAGTCTGACTCTATTTGATGGTGGTGAGTTTATATTTTTTGAGTTGTTTTGTTTTGATGTGCCACGCATCGAGTTAGGTATCCAAGACACAGAGAAATAACTTGCCCAAAGTCACACCTGGGGTTATGAGCATTTGGTGTTTAGACACCACAGTTCATCATCTCTCTTACCTTTCTCCTTGACCTGGCGACCTTTGATGTATCCTGGCAGCATCCTTGGTACCCTGGCCAGACTTACTAATCAACTATGTATTCCTGAGCTGCTGACCACACCGACACAGAAACCGATGGCGTCCTCACCCTCCAGCATCTGTGTGTCAGCTCAGCATCCAAGAGAAGGTTCCATGTGAAGTAACCTGAGGAAGATCTATATGATTTATACCTGATAACTGTGGTTTGGCAAGGGGGGAGTCAGTGCACTACTTTCAAATGAATGAACTAAGACCCAGACCCTTTCTCTTTCTATGGGGGGGGGGGGCGCGGGGTGGTTGATAGTCAATAATCTCATTTTCTCACTTTTATAAAATGGTAGCCCCAGCTTCAAGCATCACATCCTCACACAATTGCGCTGGGTTATTAAAACCCAGAAAGGAAAGAAGCTGATTAATGAGTACCAGATGGGGCGGGGAACCGTTTCCTTTCATCTGGCTATAAATCATTTCCCAAAACTCCCCACCCCTTTGAATTGTATGTCTTAGAGACTAGAACTGGGTCACATGCTCTGCCCTAGCACAATTGTTGGCAAAAGAGACGGGATAAGTAGACTGGGTTTAGACTTCTTCACTTGATGGTCTTTTGGTTTAGAAGGCTAAGAGGATCGGATTTAATTGGTCTAGGGTAGGGTTCAGGCTTTAGAATGATTTAAAAGGTCTCCTGGGTTATTCCACTCTACAGCAGTGTTGAGCACTTGACCAATTCACCAATTCACCCCATTACCCCTTAAACAAAATAGATAACTACTGGTGAGCGATTGACACTGTTTGCCACTGTAATTTATTTGTGTGTGAAAGAACTAGGAGCTATGAAGAATGCTGGATTATTCAGTAAGCAAGGTAAGCACAGGCTTACTTCTGGTTATGCATTGGGCTGCGATCTGCATGGTCAGCATTTCGAAATCACCAGCAGCTCTGTGGGAAAAAGACTGGACTTTCTACTCTGATAAATAGTTACAGTCTCAGAAACCCACTGTGAGGAGGTCGCTATGAGTCAGCATTAACTTCCATGGCAGTGGGTGAGTGAATGAACAATTTCACTTTTTTTTTTCAGCACATCAAAGA